TGCACTCACTTTTCACAGCCGGATGAACGGGGACCCATAGTCATTGCACAAACTGCCACAGCAAGGCACAAGAGAGCCCTCCCGGGAAGAGCCCCCTCCTGCCCCTTGCGGGCCCTGGACAGTCACCAAGCACTGGGATCCGGCCTCTTCTGGAGCATCCTGGAGCTGGAATCGCACAGTGTGTGAACCTCCCCTTCTGAGCCCTCTCCCTTGTTGAGAATAAGGTGGCCTGCTTGTTGCCGGTGCCTGTGAGCCCCTCAGTCTCCTGTGCACGTGACAGAGGAGGCACTGCCTGCTCCTCCAGGGGGAGCTGGCAAGTCGGCATTGGACTTCCCACTGTAAGGCTGGCGGTTCAAACCCACCAGCCGCTCTGAGGGAGGCAGGTGGGCCTCTGCTCCCATAAAGATCTCCCCCTGGGAAGCCCTGTGTGGCGTCTTGATGATGTGGTGCCATCCCCCCATCCCCCGCATGTTTGAGTCCCGTCGCTGCAGCCACCCCCCCTCCCCAGGGCCTCCCTCATCCTCACCGGCCCCCTGCTTCTCCAAACAGGCGGGGTGCCTCCTCGGGGGACCGTGCTGCCTCCACGGAGCCGGATAAATGTCCTGTCTCGCTCCATGAGCTTTCTTCCTAGTCTGTCTGCATCCGCCCAGGACCTGCCCACCCTGGGTGAGCCTGCCAGTGCGGGCGGTGTTGATGGCCTAACCCCAGCATCTCGCCCCCACAGGGCCCCCAGACGGACAGACGGTCGTGGGAGGGGCTTGCTGTTTTCACTTGGACCCCGGTGGTGGCCCTGGCGCCCTCACAGGTGTTTTATTCTACGAGGACGAAAGGCCAGAGAGGTGGAAACCAGAAGTGAGAGGCAGCCTCCTGCGAGCGAGCGAGACTCCCTCCACCCTCAGGCTCACTTCCTCCCTCCCCCTGTCAGAGCGATCTGCAGAGTTAGGGTGAGCCCCCGCCCCACTCCACCCGTTAGGACTGCGAAACCACTTCTGCTCTGTGGAGCGTTGTGACCTTCCACTCTGTTTCCTGTGGCTGCCATCTTGTCCCCTGTCACAACCTCCACGCCGCGTCACTGGGCATCTTTGGAAGGTATGCTGGCCGGACTGATGTGAGGCCATTTCCGTGGGCTGCGCGCGCGGGAGGGCAGTCCGTGGAAGGGGTCTGGACGGGCAACAAGAAAGCATCGCAGCTCTGCTTGCCAAGAGGTGGCTTGGGGCAGGTGTGGCTTGGAAAATAAACTCTGTTGCGACGGCAGGGTTTGGCGAGCCTGCCCTTTTGATGTGCACTCTGATTCATTTTTAGTTTTGTTTCTTTCTGGCCTGTTTCCAGATCGTGGATTATAACCACAGCAGCCCAGGGGCATTGTGTTTGTGTTTCGGGTGAGCGAGCTTCGGATGGAAATGGCCCAGGTCCGCTCTTTTGGTATTGAATTAGGACGCCTGAGCGGGGCTGCTAACCCGAAGGGGCTGCTAGCCTCTGGCAGGAGAAAGATGAGGCCGCCAGTTTCACCAAGAATGGCAGCCGTCACCTTTAGAGCTGAAACTGGTGGCGGGGAGGGCGTGGAATGCCCGGAGGGGTTCAGTCAAGTGCAGTGTGTCCAGGAGGAAGTACAGAGCACCGAATGGAGGGTGAGCATGATAGCAGGACAAGAGGAAGGTTCAAGGAAATAGAGGAAAGGAGTAGGAGGAAAAAGCTATTTTTTTTTTGCTTTGCTTTGTTTTGTTTTTAAATGTCATTTTATTGGGGGCTCTTACAGCACTTATAATAATCCATACATCCATCGTATTAAGCCCATGGCAAAAGCTATTTATAGAGGTATAGCTATAGGCATGTGCATATGTAAATATATTAATGTATACAGAAAGGGATCGAGGCCAATGTACATATATTTATATGTTAAGTATTAAGATAGCAGATGGACGTTGGGCCTCTAC